GGTAATAGGTGAGTTTTATAAAGTTTAATTTTATTTTTACTGACTTGACTTTTAATGGTCAAGTCAGGGAACACCTCTGTAAAATAACCTAAACATTGAAGTTTCAACACGAAATATGAGCTTTAAATTMSACAAAGACTGCTCACAAWAATTGGGAAAGTAAAAGTACTCGTACRCATACTWAGGCAGGGGTWCTCAAGACATTTGGGTCTGGGRACCCCTTACAAGGGCGAAAAGAATTCCAGGGACCCCCTCATAAACCAAAGGCTGTTTTAAAAGATAATTTATTGTCATTTCAACCACTGAATGCCATGGGAATATTAAGTTTATTGTGTTTATTTTGTTAGTTCATTGTTCTCCATGCATTATTTAAAATAAAAACCAAATTAACATTTCAGTAAAAAATTTTGAGGACCCCCAAGATATCTCTCATGGACCCCTGGGGGTCCAGGGACCCCAGTTTGAGAACCCCTGCTCTAAGGTTCTGGATTTGGTGTCTTTCTCAGGGGTGGAGYCAGAGGGGTGCCACCCACAAATGATTGACAAGTGGGGTGAAGATCAAATGTGACATTTTAAAAATGGGCTGTTGGAGAAAATAAATCTGTTGAACATGTGTTGACTTGTAAGATTTTTTTGTGGTTTAACTAAATTACAGATACACACGTATTTTATTGGTTATAATCATTTAGTTGAAACAGTAAGGGAACCAACGAGTCTATATTTAGTTTTAGTGTTTGTTTTTGGAACTTACTTCCTTATGATCAGGTTTTCTATAAACATNGGCACAGGTGGGACATTCTGAAGCCATTCTATGGGACTGATAACGCCAAATAACGTCCATTTCATGGATGATARCWTCCAAAGTGGGTGGCAGACCTCGACCCTCTAGCTAACATTTTCAAATAAACTTTTCTGGATTTCCCAAAATCGGATGTGTCGAAATTCGCTCTAGGAATAGCGTTTTTTGTTACATTACCATTTAATCTCTGTATAATCTGTGCCAATCCATGATGTCATGAGTGGAAATCATTAGTTTCAGGTCAGGACAACAGGCAGGGATCTACTAAACTCTGGGGGGTAGTCTCAAATAAATCTGCTCTGTGGAGGGCGAGCATCGTCATCTTGGATTTAGTTTAAGTCTAGACCAGAGATTATGGGATTGCTGCTGGTTTCTCACATTAAACCAGCTTTATTAAACCAAGCCAATTTCACCAACTCTCCATCGCCTCGTTTTTCAGTACCTGTAGAAGCAATCTCTCATCTCCGATGATGGCAGCTTTCCTCCAGTCGATCACCTCAGAGAACGGAAGCTCCCAGCCGTTACTCAGAATAACTGGGATACAGGCGGCCTGAGAAAACACAAACAGGAGCGTAAACCTCTCTGACATAAACTTTGATCTGAAGACCACATTTATTTAATTAGCACCCGCTGTTGGGGTAAAAAGGTTTTGTTTTTCTTTCAGAGGACTGTCTCTGGAAAAAAAAGAAAAAAGAAAATTATCAACATGATTTCACAAAGAGAAGGAGCGGCGTCTCAGTGACTTAAAAGTCTGAGTAAAACTTTAAAGTGGAACGCTGGGAGGGATCAGCTTTTATCCTCTCTGATGAGACACTTTCACTGGATTCCAAATGAGTTTTTCCCACAAACAAATGGGAGCTGCCAAAAATACTAAAGGACAAAATGAAGTGCATTTATTTATTTTTCCATCGCGGTTCAATATTTAGATGAGCCACTTATACGACTTAATTCATCAGGAGTGGGTTTTATTTCCCACAGTACCCTCTSAGCACAGTTAAATCGGACCTTACAACGATTCATCACTTGTGCTTAATGAAAAAGACTCGACCGTGCATTTTACTGYACAATTAAACTGTATTTAAGGAGAACATGTGCTATCTTTTACACATTCTTAGGAAGCTTTGGTGTTAATGTATTATACTTCCAGTTAAAATGATAAAACAAGTAATAAATTAACAGCTTCTCATTTAGGAGTGCAGGTTTTTTTTTTATCAAGAATACTTTATAAGCCTTTCTCTTTTTTTTTGGCACAAGTAATATT